AATGTGTGTATATATACATGAATTAAAATAAAATCGCCAAATTATAAGACTGTCGCAATACAAACGATTTTGCACGCCATTTTTCTGACGTATTTTAAAAGATAATACGATTAATTGAATTAATTAAGAAAAGAACTTTAAAATTCTGCTATTTTATTAATTTTTCATTAGTCCATCCACTAATTTAATCACGCAGATTAATTAAATTAATGTGAATAATTTTTTTCTTTTACGAGCTCGTCTTGTTAATTTTGCAGAGCATAACAATTATTTAGAATTTAGACTATCAAGACTGATCTTCTTACTTTAATCGATAAGTTTGCAAAATTTTAACGCTCACTAAAATTTGCAAACAAAATAAATTTGTTCTAGAGGAGCTAGCAGAACTCTTTCTTCATGTACAAAAGAAATCAAAGCGCACCGGTATTAATATCCTTTCGCAATACCATTAATTAATAACAATATTAACGATATGTACCTACGCTGCATTAACTACCTAAATATCTAACTAACGAGCATTAACCTAACGCCTTAAACGCAACGTCCATTTAACATACTTATTCAGCCTCGGCTCTCGCAACGCGGCCGAGGGCTATAAATAATCATAACACTAATAATAAAGGTAATGATAATTACATTATCGAGATAATTAATCGATTGAATTTCTCATGCGATTGCAAATATATACATATAGATGGGATATGTATTATTAAGATCTAGAACCAGTTATTATCCATAGCTTGCTCTCAAAGTTACAATTAATTATCGACACAGATGGCTTCATTTTTACAACCTCGAGTTCGGTGTGAGTGTGTATGTATGCGTGTACGCACGTGTATCTGTGTGAAATAACGTGTAATCGTGCTTACATACACAGTGCTATGTATACTTCTCTACCTGGAATACTGTACCGTTTACAGGATCACTACGGGCTACCAAATTATAATTTGATTTTGTACACGTTTAGAACCTGTTCACCAGAAGATGTCCGCGAGATCTATCCCGCACTATCGTATTTACGCAATCGTATTTATTTACTCCACGATTAATGCATCGATTACGTTCCTCGTCCACAGGTGTTTCATTTCATTAGATTCACTATATAAGCGTGACACTTAGCGCGAGAGAGAGAGTACGCGAACTTACTTGTAGGGGGTCCTCTTCGTACCAAAAAAAAAAAAAAGAAAAACAAGAGTAAGCTATGTACATCCATTCGTCCTCTGTAAAGAGACGCGCGCGATTAATCTTATATCGTAAACGTGTGTCTTTTCTATGTCTATCTACGTGCTACCCCTCCCCTTTTTCAGCCTTTAACTGCAACGGCAGGCTCCCGAGGATTACATTTAGAATGTTATTTGCTCGAGTTTAAATTTCTTGTGGCTTACTTCGCTTCGATCAATCAGACGTATCCCTTATAATGACAGCAATATTTTGTTTTCTTCTTTTTTAACATAAGCACCGTAAACAGATTTAATCCTGTTAAGGAACGTTTATCTCTATTGTCATTTGCCCATCGCGATCCGGCAGGATTAAATCCCTCAACTGATGACTATGCGAAAATGCGAATCCTGATGTTACACGTTACAGAACGACCGAATATCTTCACGTTGCCGTCCGTGGACACATCTGTCGTCATTTCCTCGATCGTAACTCCTTCGATACGGCGCGCAATTACGGTACGGTACAATCCCCCGGGAATTCTGCGGCATCAGTTCTGTAACACCGAGATGTTCCAGTCGAAGGTTGATATGAGTTTCTCGCCCCATTTTACGCGAGGCTCGTCATCTTCTGATGCACAGTACTCGAAATAATATATATATATAT